AAAAAAAAAAAATGATAATATCACCATAATAATTTTTTTCCTGGTACTGGGGATTGAACCCAGGGCCTTAAAGATGCTAGTCAAGCACTCTGCTACTGCATTACATTCCCTAGAAAATCTATGTACCTCGCATAACAAATATTCAATAAAATAGACTTCGGAGGGAATATAAATTGGCACTAAATTGGGGAAGCAGTGTTGTTGTTGTTTTAATATTTTTATTTTATTTTTTTATGTGGTGCTGAGGATTGAACCCAGTGCCTCACACATGCTAGGCAAGTGCTCTATTCTGAGCTACAACCTCAGCCCTGTTTTTGCAGTTCCAGGGATTGAACTCGGGCCTTTCACAGGCTAGGCAAGTGCTGAGCAATCTGTCACCGAGCACTTGCCTATCCTGAGGATGAAGTTTTGAATGAAACTTAGCTGCTTTTTTTAGGCCAGGACAGTGGAACATTTAGACAAGCAGGAGAGAAAGGATAATTAAGACAAAAAGGCCTTAGAATAGTGGGAAGAGATATGATACCAGAAAGTCATTTGGTGGAGTTGTTCTTCAGTGGAGTATTTACAATTCATGTAGCAAAGGTTTTTGTTTTGAGGTGATGTTTTACTGTGTTGCCCAGGCTGGCCTAGAACTCATGGATCATCCTGAGTAGCTGGGACTACATGTGCACGTGGTGTGCCTGGCTACAAAGAATTATTGAATGCTGAGAACTGTGTGCTACATGCTGGGGATTTTAAGATAGAAATGATAGGTGARGCCAGCAGCTTGGGGAGGCTAAGGCAGGAGGATCACAAGTTCAAAGCCAGCTTCAGCAAAGAGCCAAGCGCTAGGCAACTCAGTGAGACACTAAACAACTCAGTGAAACCCTGTCTTTAAATAAAATACAAAATAGGGCTGGAAATGTGGCTCAGTGGTTGAGTACCCCTGAGTTCAGTCCCAACTACCAAAAAAAAAAAAAGAAGAAGAAGAAGAGGACGATGAAGAAAAGAAATGAAAGGAATGATATGTGAAAGAAGAGAATAAATTGAACTGATTATTTGGGGGACATTTTGTTGGCTTCTTGTTGAAAAAAAATGAAAAGTCCATTTGTTTTCCTTGATACAGTGCTGGAATCTTATCTAATTGTAAAATTCACTAAAAAGTGTACTAGGTTGTCACAGATACCTTTTTACAAGTAGAATATATTTCAGACAATTCTGAAAGTTGCTTTGACTTTTCTAGGACTCCAGAATTAACTTGATTTGAATGAGAAAAGTTTCTCAGAATTTCTCACTTTGGTCCCGTTGTAGTAGTTTTGGTAATTTTAAGTGTTCATTGACTGAATTCCTAAGTACCTAATAGTTTCAGTGTATTTGTCTGCTGTATCTACCAGAACAAATACCACAGCCTAGGCAGCTTAAACAACAAAAATTTATATTCTTCAAAGTTCTGAAGACTGGAAGTGTAAGATAACAGTGTTGCAAGGTTTAGTTTCTTCTCAGGCCTCTCTCCTGGGCTCACTGTGTGTTCACATGGCCTTCCTTTTGTGAAAGCACATCCCTGAGTATTTAAATTTCTTACTACAGGGACACCAATCAGATTGGATTAAAGCCTACTGGTAAAGGATTCATTTTAATTTAATTACATCTTCATAAAGCTGTATCTCCAAGTACAGTAACATTCTGTGGTTCTGGCAGTAGGAATTTTGGAGGGACATAGTTCATGATAGAGGAGTGTCTTGTTTTGTTCAGTCCTATTGGGGACTGAACCCAGGAGTGTTCTGCTACTAACCCCTACACCCCCAGCCCTTTTTTAAAAATTTGAGACAGGGTCTTGCAAAGTTTAGAGGCTGGCCTTGAACTTGGGACCCTCCTTCCTCATCCTCCTGAGTCACTGGGGTTACAAGGGGTTGGGGATTTATTTTTATTTTTTGTTTTTTAATCTTTTTGGTTATATCTTTATTTTTTTATAAATTTCCATATGGTGCAAAGGATGGAACCCAATGCATCACATGGCAAATGTTCTACTACTGAGCTAACACCAGTCCCAGGGGTTTAGCTTAAAAGTAACTTGACTGCTCCATGAAGACATAACTAAAGGATCTACATTTCTTTTCACATTTTCTAGCTAATAATCATAAGAAGTTGTCAGAATTTGGAATTAGAAATGGCAGCCGGCTTCAAGCAGATGATTTCCTTCAGGACTATACTTTATTGATCAACATCCTTCATAGGTAGGAATTATTAATATTTTATGTATAAGAAATTGGAATATACAAATTTAAGACAAGGTGGAGGGAAAATGTTTTCCTACCAGTAAACCCTACTGTTCATTAAAAACTGGAAGTGTATTTGCTTGAGTTGACCATTGAGTTACCTGAAGTTTGACCTATAGGAAGTTTGGGGATTCACAAATAAAAGGGAGGGGCCAGATGTGGTGACACACTCCTGTAAATCCAGCATCTTGGGAGGCTAAGGCAGGAGGATTAAGAGTTCAAAGCCAACCTCAACAAAATCGAGGTGCTAAGCAACTCAGCAAGACCCTATCTCTAAATAAAATAGGGCTGGGGATGTGTCTCAGTGGTTGAGTGCCCCTGAATGCAATCCCTGGTACCCCCATAAAATAAAATAAGACAAGAAATAAAAGGGATAAGCAAAAAATGTTTAAGGGTATCCATCAACAATGGTGGCTGATGTATGACTTAGAGTATAGGCTTTTGAGTAGTTCTAATCAGTGGTGAGTTCATTTTAATAAACTGGAATAAAATAGTTAATTTTTTAAATTACTCAGAAGATAGAACTACTTTCCCYCATACAACAAATAATTTTATGATTTTTATTGTAATAAAAACTAAAATATTAAGAGCTATCCTGTACAGATTCCTTAGTCATGTATTTTTTTTCTCTTTGGTATTTTTTCCTACCCACTTAGAAAACAAGGCACTGAATGTACTTATGTTTTAGACTATTTACATAAATATATACGGCACAGTTACAAAGCAAATGGTCCTCCATGAAGGGTAATAACTGTGTTTGGTATCCAAACATTTTGCCCACATTGCCATCTTATACTAACCTGTGTAGTCTTTTGTGTCATTGTTTGAAGGTAATATTTATTTATACTTGTTTTATAAAAAGCAAAAAACAATGTCTGGGCATGGTGGTGCATGCCTATAATCCCAGCAATTTGGGAGGCTTGAGGCAGAATTCAAGGCCAGTCTTGGCAACTCGGTGAGACCCTGTCACAAAATAGGAAAAGGGCTGGGGATGTGGCTCAGTGGTAGTGACTCTGGGTTCAATTCCCAGTATTGTCCACCCCACGTCCAACAAAACAAAAGTCATAAAGTAATAGGAAAGACTGAATATGGATTACTAGTAAGAAGTAATGGAATTAGAGAAAGACATCACTGGGGTGTGATCTTAAGCCTCAGTTGGACACCAGTTGGCTACCAGTGGCATGCTGTGTTCAGTTTTGAAAGAAAAGACAGTGAGAGGACATAATAAAGAAATATCACATGGTGTCTAAAAGAGGAGGCATAATTAGGGTTTTTTTTTTTTTATCATATTTTTTAGCTCTCTGGGAACAGAACCCCCTTAAAACATGTAAGTCTTTTGTTTGACTTTCATGCATTAAACTTTCATACATGTTTTTGGGAACTCATGTACAAAAGTGGGGTGCTGTCTAGAAAGATGGGTGGGTAACCCAGAAACCATATAACCCTAATCCCTAAAACACCAAACTGCTTTGGTAGAGTGATTACAATTTTTTGGCATAGTGSCTGAAAAATGGTATCTTAGAAATTATTTTGGGCTACGGTTTCAGACTCAGTTTTCTACATAAACAATAGAAGTTATTCAGCTTTTTGTTTTGTTTTCTTTGTTTAAAGCAAGTCCCTAATATGAAAGTACATTTGTTTTGGCATTAAATTAAATCACAGTCTTTTTTTATTGTAATTTTTAAAAATTTGAATCTGGATATGTATTTTGTACGCAGCATATACTTGGAACTTTTGAGAATAGTGTCTCTGATGTTGTTACCTTCACTGCCATTATTAGGATATGCACCCTCTGCTTTTTGTTTGGAGTAGGTAATGATAGCATTGAGGATGCATAATTCCTTTGAATTATGTAATTTTGCTTTGTAAATAGTTGTGGCAGTGGTCCTGTTTTATGGTATGCAATTCTTTCACAGTGAAGACCTAGAAAAGGATGTTGAATTTGAAGTTGTTGGTGATGGCCCAGAAAAAGTGGGGCCCAAACAAACTGAAGATGCTGCCAAAAGCATTACCAATGGTAGTGATGATGGAGCCCAGCCTTCCACCTCTACGGGTGAGTCCTGGCCTCAGCCAGCAGATTAATTATCCACTAAGCAAAAAGTATGGAGAAACAAACTATAATTATAGTTAAGAATGCTGATTGAAGTAGAAATTCATAAAAATACTAGAGATGTATGCTGGTTTGTTATTGACTTGATAACTAAATAGTAGGCTGCTCATTTTATTTAGGAGCAACAAATCAATGTGTCTATTTTGAGTAGACAGGTGCTTGGTAAGTATGGGATTTTAGCGTTTGGTAAAGTGTATCAGAGGGATTTGTTCCCTGGTGTCAGTGCTGAAGCTTGGTGCTTTTCTAAATAACTCATTCTTTTCTATGCTCTGAATGTTTACTTCCCTCCTTCTTTTTTTATTCATGAAACTAAAAGTTTCCTATCAGTTTTTATCTTCTCTGTTTCCATTGTGTTGACTCCCTGTCTTTGCATTCTTTGGAATATATTTAATCTTTGTTCTAGTCTTGAGAGTGTGGGGATGGACTAGCTCTCCTATGGGCTGCTTTTCCCCCTCCAAAACAGGCTCCTTTGAAACTATTATGCTAGCTTTTTAAAATTTGTAATTTGAAGTAAACATTTATTGATCCTTTGAGGTAGGCAGGTTTAAGAGGCTATTAGTAGTAAGATAGGTAGTTTGCTTTTGATTTTGGTAGAGGGGGAGATAAAACTACTTTATTGTGTAAGGTTACGAGCATCAGATGTGGAGCTCCCACTTTGTAGGCTTGAATCCTGGCGTCATTTTTGCAGTAGTGTGACCCTGGGAAGAAAGTCAATCTCTGACCTCACTTTCCTTTTCTGGAAAATGGATAATAATGTTATCTTCTTTATAGGGTTGTTGTGATGATTAAATGAGTTGTTATATGCAAAGGGCTCAGAACAGTTCCTGGCACATTGTAAGTGCTGTTTGTTACGTTATTGTTGTTGATGTTGTTACCTTCACATTATTAGGATATGCACCCTCTGCTTTTTGTTTGGAGTAGGTAATGATAGCATTGAGGATGCATAATTCCTTTGAATTATATAATGCTTGTTACCACTTTTCTTTTACTTAGAAAAAAAAAATAGGTGCTTTTCCTGGGTTCAATACCCAGTTAACCCCCCCTCAAAAAAGAAAAAGGTGGGGAGGATAGGTGCTTGTTATTTAAAACAGTAAGTAGCGTGAGAAGGGACGGTTTCCTAAGAATAGCCATTATTAAGTTTGATATARATTCAGAGAGTTAGCTTTAAAGTATATATAAAATATTGGTGAACCACTAATAACTCCCACACTTTTAATCTTTTTTTTTCCCCGAAATAAGCACAAGAGCAAGATGATGTACTCATAGTTGATTCAGATGAAGAAGGTCCTTCAAATAATGCTGATATCAGTGAAGAAACAAGAAGTCGCAAGAGGAAATTAGATGAGAAGGAGAATGTCACTGCAAAGAGGTCACGTACAGAGCAGATGGAAGAGCTTGATGATGTCATAGCATTAGATTGAGCAAGAAACCCTCCTGAAACGTTAGTTCATCTGGGCAGGACCAGATTGTTATGTCCTTTGTTCCAAAGGGAAAATAATGACAACGGTGACTTGAAAATGATTCTGCTCCCTTTGAAAGCATTCATTTTGCTAGAACTATTAGAACATTGGCGTATGCTGTATTGAAAGTAGGAGTATAGTTTTAAAACCCTTTGAACAAAGTGTGTGCATAACCAGTCATGAGATGAAACACCACAATGCATGTTGCCTTTTTAATGTAAATACCCTTAGGTATCATTTAATAGTTCAAAAATATTGTGGTTTAGTAAAGTTGATACCTGGTTATAAATATTATGCCTTTATTTTTGGCTAGAAGAAGAATTATTTTTAGCCTAGATCTAACCATTTTCATATTCTTAACTGACTGAAACAGATTCAAAGAAATATCAAGTGCTATGCATTGAAACTTGTTTTTAAATGTTAATTGGCACTATGTATATTAATGTAAAACAATGTTAATTTACTCAAATTTTCAGTTTGTACTGCCTGGTATGTCTGTGTAAGAAAACAATTTTTGTGTATTGTTACAATTTCAGGTTATTTATATTTGATGTTTTGTAAAACTCAAATGATTATACTGTACTTATGGACCAAATAAATGGCATCTGCATACTTGTTACACATGTCTGAATAGTTCCCATTTTTCCTGCCTTATATCTACGTTAAGCATGCTAAAAAGTCTTTGCATTAAAAAAAAAAAAAAAAAACTCAGCCAGCCAGGCATGGTGGTGCATGCCTATAATTTCAGCCACTCAAAAAGCTAAGACAGGAGGAACAGAACTTCAAGGACAGCACGTACAGCTTATTGAGACCCTGTCTCAAAAGAGGTGGGAGGGTGGCTGGTGATGTAACTCAAYGGTGGAGCACTTTCCTAGCATGAGTGAGGCCCTGGATTCAGGCCCCAGCAATGCCAAAAATAAAAAATTCTTTAATAAAAAATATTTTTTAATAAAAGAAATTTATTCCTAATGGGTGTGAAGGTTTAAAAGATCTCTATTTGCCATAGGTGATTACTTTCCAATCTAAAGCCTCTAATGGCAATGTTGTCTAAAATTTTGATTGTTGGGGCTGGGGATATAGCTCAGTTGGTAGAGTTCTAGCTTCACATGCATGTGGCCCTGGGTTCAATCCCCAGCTCCACCAAAGGAAAAAGAAATTACATTGTTAACATTTAGCCTATTTATTGTTGAACATAATTAAGTGGTCTTTGCCCAGCCCCATAACTGGGACCTTGGATTTGAGATGCTGTGGTGGGTGTGGGGATCTTTCCTCCTTTCTGCACTTTTTGGATTGTCCTGTTCTCCAACTGAGGAGTCTCTTCTTGAGCGTACTGTTCACAACCTAGCTCTAACTTACAGATATGGCTAGAATATCTGGGTGGAGTAATACTTAGCCTCCTTGAGCTGCAGCCCAGAAGTCCTTGGCCCTTGAGAGTGGTCTTGTCACACAGATGGTGCCTTGAGTTTTCAGAGATCAGAAACCCTTAAGCTGTTTTCCTCATGGTATACCAGTGTCTTTGGTGTTTTGGGCAGTGGACCTTCAGTTGATGACAATAACTACATTTCACATGGATAATTTATTGGATTTTCTACTTTGTGTAATTCTCTGCCATCCAGTTTATTAACTCTTCTTGTTTTATACCTTTGTAGATTCATGTAATCAAAGCCTTTAGAAAAGCCATGTTGTCTTTGCCCTCAGGAGCCTGCTGCTTGATGCCTCTGGGATGGACTGATTTCCAGCCTTCTGCTCAGCCCCATCCTGAAATACAGTGTCAAATCAGCCTCCTGGGGAACAGTGTGGTGACATTGTCTCAAAAGACTGATCTACATATCAGCATGTACCCTGAGAGGATTCAGTGTTTCAATCAAGAGCCTGAATCATCAATGAAATAACTGACCAGGCAAAGATCATTAGTAGATCCCAAACCCTTCTGTGCAAGCCTTTCAAGGAACAGTCTAAGTCTAAGCTCAGTGCACCAATGTTGCTGCACAGATCACCTGAAAGTAAAACTTCAGTCCCAGCAATGGGTAGCTCTGGTTGTCACCACCATAATCATGTGACCAAATCTAGCAGCACTAATGGGACTACCTGATATTAGGTGCTTCCTGATGAGATGATAACAAGAACACACAGCACCTTGCCAAAATATAGCCTGAATCCAATAAGCATCTAGGTTTAACTTTTAGCTCAAAGGAAGTAGAGAAGCAAGTTAAACAACAGTAAGAGGAAACAGACAAATGCAGGATGTGTTATGTTCCTTCCATAATCCATCAGTCTGGATTCTTGAGTTGAAGTCATTATCATTTAAAAAGGAAGAAATTATTCTGGATTAAAGGAAATTAATTAAATTTAAGAGTCATAACCAGGGATAACTATTTCCTGGCTCAGCAAAATAAATGACATTAGCATTTTTTTTAAATACCTGAGACAGGCTCAGTTTATTTATTTATTTAAAGAGAGAACTTTTTTAATATTTATTTTTTAGTTTTCGGTGGACCCAACATCTTTCTTTGTATGTGGTGCTGAGGATCGAACCCCGGCCGCATGCATGCCAGGAGAGCGCTCTACCGCTTGAGCCACATCCCCAGCCCCAAGCAATTTTTTTAATATTTTTCAGTTGTAATTGGACACAACACCTTTGTTTTATTTATTTTTATTTTATGATGTCAGCAATAAGGTGTTGAGGCAGGGCCTCAAACACGCTTGCTGAGTGCTCTACTGCTGAGCCACAACCCCAGCCCAGACATTAGCAATTTTAGTAACAATTGAAAATTTGTATTGAAAGCCAAGTGCAGTGGTACACTCCTGTAATCCTAGCTACTTGTGTAGTAGGGGATTATGAGATTAAGGCCAGCCTAGGCAATTTAATAAGATCCTCTCTCAAAATGTAAAGGACTGGGGATGTAGCTCAGTGGTCAAGTGCCCTTGGGTTCAATCCCTGTAGCAGAAAAATAAATAAGCAAGCTTCTCATTCTTAGCTGTAGAGGTAGGGAGGGCCTCTGTTTCTTTGTATTTTTAAAGTAGAAATCCTGAGGTCCAAAATCTCCATTTGACTGTTTTGAGGGAGGTTATATTTAGAGAAGTATTTTTATAGATACTTTCATACTGGGAACACATTATTTGCATTCTGCACTCAGAAGGAACATATTCCCTCCACTCCCCTGCCCTGTATCCAATTCAAAACAAATTCCAGCCAAAAGCTTATTTGAGGAATTTTAACTGCTCTTACTAAAAAAGTAAAATCAACTGGGTTGGACTATAGGGCTACAGTGCTTTCATACAGTTTGGTTGTATTTTGTAGATACTTTCTGGTTATATTTTGTTACTACTTCCCGGTAAAGTAACATTTTAATAATTTTTGCTAAATGTCTCTGACTCATGCCAGCTTTAAAATGTTTAAGTCTAGCAAATGATGACTCACACTAGACTGGGAAAGGTTCTGAGCAAGAATTTTATTAGAATATATAATGTAAGGTTCTCAGGGTACAAAGTGGTGCTGGGGATGGAACCTTAGGCCTCAAGCTAAGCAAGCCCTCCACCACTGAATTATAGTCCCCAGACCCCAACAATTTATTTCCACTGGGCAAGTCAATTTCAGAGTTAGATATTTTGCATACTATGTCATTCACTCATTCTATAAATATAATAACATCCCTCTTCTGCACTACGGTGAAAAGCATTATTAGTGTCATTAGCCTGGGCAGAAACCTTTGAGAGCAATAAGACACAAACGGAAATCCAACTACTCATTTTATGATGTCAGCAATAAGCGGTGGGATTGAGGCTCTGAGGTCCTTCAAACTAACCAGTTGGTTCCAGCAGCAGTTTCTCTGAAAGTCATAAACACCAACCTCTTGCTCAAAAATGTTTTACTGGTATTGCAAAAGCTTTACTGATTGAGCATCCATAAGTAGGTCTTCCCCATTGAGCTATATAGACTGGCTAGAAGTTTTACCATACTATAAGATTTGGGCAGAAGAAATTCCTATCCCTGAGTGCATGATAAGGTTTCAAGACAAGAAAAGATGGCCTCTTGACACTTGATGAAAGCAAGCTGCAAATGTTGGTTTCTAAGCCTAGTTTTTAGACTGAGGACCAGTCTAGGGCTTCAAGTGTCAATGCTTTGAGTCTTTTCTGCCCTTCTCAGAATAAGGGAAATAATAGGACCAGGGGATGTTGAGAGTAGACTGAATCTGCAAGAACAAGAGACATCCGAGAAGAAGGGATGGAAAACCCCCTTTGAGTACACCTAGTAAAACAGAGTATATCAGATAGCCCAGCTCCAGGAGCGGAGGGGACAGTATGCTTCAGATTTAAGATTTGTGCTGATCTCCTCAGAAGAAATTCTGTCAGGGTGAAACCTGTTGCAGACTGAGGGGAGAGAAAGGAGTGTGGATCCCAGCAACCTCCTCCTTGTGGAATTTGACTGCATAACATTCCCTTTCCCTCATAACCCAATTTATCCAGCCATTGCCGGTTGACATAGGACCTAAGATTCCATAGGAAAACCCCTGAATTGTGTACATAATTAGAATCCAGACACTACAGACAACTAAGGGGGTAGCTAGATGGAAGCCAGATTATAAGAAGGAACAATGTTGGGGGGGCGAAGGGTCCATAAAAATGGGTGTAGACAAAGTCTGACTAGGATCAGCTTCTGGGGCTTCAAGATGGTGACTCAGAATGTGCTGTGAGTTCAGACATGTTCAGTTTTTGCCTCCTGATTGTGTTCATTTGCTGAGACAAAGGCAAGACTGGTTAACTTGGGAGGATGTGATACTCCTCCTTCTTCCAGCAATGGTACCAAGGCAGCGGTGTGTGGAAACCAGCTCATCCTTTCTGGCAAGCACTGATTATACCCATCTCTTCCCAACTCTGCTCAGTGACCCACATTGGTAGTTTGAAATTGGCCCTAGTGGGAGTATTTACACCATCATAATTAACAAAAGGTACAAATTAGGACTACTGATTTGTATAAAATTTCTCCCCAATATCTGGTTGCTTAATATGTACCATCAGACCACTAAAGAAAATGGAAAGAGGAAGAGCGAAAAGGAGAAGGAAAGAAACACAAAAGAACACCCCCACATCAGTGGAGGGCAGAAAAGGCATTGGTGGAGGTCCGCAGTGGATCCATGGACAGTGGTTCAGGTCTCATGAGTTGACCTGTCCCTTTTCTTCTCCATTGTGCTTCTCAAGGCAGAATAAGGGCCTGGTGTGGTGGCCCAAGCCCGAAATGCACCCGGGTGTAATCCCAGCGGCTCAGGAGGCTGAGACAGGAGGATTGTGAGTTCAAAGCCAGTCTCAGTAACTTAGTGAGGCCCTAAGCAACTCAGCGAGACCCTGCCTCTAATAAAACATAAGAAAAGGGCTGGAGATATGGCTTTTTAAGTGGTTAAGCACCCCTGGATTCAATCTCCAGAATTAAAAAAAAAAAAAAAGATTCTTTCAAAATATTCTCTACTGTCATGTATATCTAATAACAACAACAACAATGAGCCAGCCTGCTGACACCGATCACTGTGCCTTCAGTGAGGATACAAAAGAAGGGTCTGGGGGCATTCAGGTAATGTATAGATGTATATATCCCAGAAAGTGTGTCCCAGGACCTGTGAATGCTGCATTGTATCCACTTAAGATCACAATGGTATAATTCTCACATTATTCAATATTTTGAATATAAATAATGGCTTAGTCTATTTCCTCTTCACAGAAATATTATTTTAATGTTGAACACTGAATGTTTTAAGTTGTTTCTGGTTTTAATTAAGTAATGGGTTTTAGCAGATCCTGGACATCAATATATTTGTTTTGTTTTGTTTTACTGGGGATTGAATCCAGGGGAGCTCTCCCACTAAGCTACATCCCCAGCCTTTTTATTTTTTGAGACAGGGTTTCCTTAAGTTACCCAGACCAGCTTTGAACTTGCAATTCTCCTGCCTTGGCCTCCCGGGTCACTGGGATCACATGTAGTACCCCACCTGGAAGTATATTGTTTTAAGTATTGAAAGCACTAAGTAGGCAAGTGGGGACAACACTTTTTGTTTTGTTTTGTTTTTTGGTATTGGAGATGGAACCCAAGGCCTTGAACATGCTACGTAAGCACTCTACCACCAAGCTACATCCCTAGCTCTAGAACACTTAGTCACTTAGTTCACAATTGCTTGTAAAGGCAAAGAGCCCCCTCTAAGCTCCGTTTTGGAAGGCTGGAGGTCTGAGGACAGTATAGATTTTGCAAACAATGTTATGGCAAACTTTTGTCTTTAAATTGTATTTTGGATTGTTCCCCTAAAATAGATTCTCACAAGAAGCACTGCTGTTTATGAATGTTTTTGGTTGTGTTGCTTGGTTTATGTAGTGAGGATGCTGATAACCACTGGATTGTTATTACTGAAATTGAATGGTTATACCAACTTATACCAGTATTATATGTGCAACTGTTTCAACAGTTTGGCAGTATTTTTAAATGATTGATAATCAGTGAAATGTGATAACATTTAAATTGCTAGTCCCCTGTGCAAGGGTGGGGCAGAGGCTGGAGTTCTGCAAGCTCAGGGAGGTGTTGGGATCCAACACTGTGCTTCACAGCTTGTTCCTTAGCAATGTTGAGCCCAGACTGCCTTGATCGATCTAGGCAGAACAATTCCCCACGAAAGTTACCTGTCCCTGAGATACAGGAAGTACCCTCCCCGAACTCTCTGAGCAAGGATGTCTGGAAAAGAGTGAAGGAATTCCTCCCTCAAGACTGTCTTCCTATATTCTTAAAAAAAAAAAAAAAAAAAAAAGACGGTCTTCCTGGATTCACCAGTCTTGACAGAAAATTGCATGGTGTTCTGCCAGGTGCACGGATGCACGCTTGGAATCCCAGCTACTTGGGAGTCTGAGGCAGCAAGATCATGAATCATGAATTTGAGTCCAGCCTGGGTGACTTAGCAGGACCCGTCTCCAAAAAAAAAAAAAAAAAAAAAAAAAAAGGAAGAAGAAGGTCTTGTTTTGTGGGATAAACCTATAAACCTTTAGTCACCTCTTGTTCTTACCAACGTGGCCTCTATGGCTGTATGTGTCCCAGGACCTTCAGCAACATTAGTGCTTTCAGGAGCATCCTTTTGAGCTACAGCCAAAATCAGAGGGCTGGGCAGGTGCTCTTTTGACATTCTCCCTCATCTTCCCTCCCAGGATGCCGCGTGTGCTAGGCAAGCCTTCTACCATTGAGCTCCACCTCAGGGTAACTCCCTGTTGTCACTGCAGCTGAGGCTTGCTACCCACTGGTTCTGAGCCTGAGGCCTGCTTCCGGCCTGGCCTGGCCTTCGAAGGGCCTGTGTACAGCAACCCGGGGTGGGGGTGGGGGACCAGTCCCCACCAAACACAGCTCCTAGTTCTAGGCGCGCCTTCTCCACACCCAGGAGGTGGCCCGACGCTAGTGAGCTACCATTTGGCATCAAGACGGGCGGGGGTCCCGGGGTCATGCAAGCTCCTAAAGGCGCATCTGCACGAGATGCCCAGGGTTCTAGAGTGGCGGTGCGGGCGCAGAGCTGTCTGCACAAGGCTGAGCTTGTTGGGCCCAGCGCCTGAAACCGAGGTGGCCCTGGGAAGGAAGATGGGAGACGATGTGGGAAACGTCTGTCTACTGAATAAATTTCTCCAACCGGGATTGGGGGAGCTTTCTCCAGCTCGGCCCTCGGGAATCCGGAACCTATTCAGAGGCCCGACGGCCCGGGCGCAGCACAGGCCTCGGACTCTCCGCGGCGCCACGGTTGGCCGCTTTGCCACCGAGGGCCAGCTGCAAGCCGCCCGCCCCAGCGTCCCCGCGCGGCCTCCGCGCCCCTCCAAGCTCCCGGCGCAGCGCGGACACTGCGGCTCCGCCGCCGCCACTCCCCCCACATTCCAGAGGCCGCAGCGCCGTCTCCTTCCTCGCATTCCTGCCCCCGCAAAGGAGTCCCTCCGGCCCCCGCGCGGCCGCGGGGAGGAGGGGGCGCGGCCGAGCGCCTCAGAGCGCACATTCCTCCGCCGCGCGCGCCCTTGAGCGGAGCGCCGCGTCCCCTGGCCCGCGCGTGGCCGGCGGAGCGACCCCGGCCGGGCGCCGGCCCCGCCCCGCCCCGTGCCCAGGGGTCCCGGGGCGGGCTCCGGGCTTCGGGCGGACGATGCGGCGGCGCGGCCGGAGCGGCGGCGGGAAGCGGAGGCGGAGGTGACGCGCTAGGGCCGGCGGGCCGGGCCATGCAGCGCTCCCGGGCGGCCGTGGACGAGGCGGCCCTACTCCTGGCTGGGCTGGCCCTGCGGGAGCTGGAGCCGGGTGGTGACTCTCCAGGCAGGGGTCGACGGGGGCCGCGGCCCGGGCCGGGAGAGGAGGCGGTGCAGGCGCTGGGCCGCAGAGGCAAGGGCGGCGGCGGCCCCGAGGCTGGGCCGGACGGACTGAGCCGCGGGGAGAGAGGCCCGCGGCGCGCAGTGGCTCCCGAGCTCAGCGCGCAGCCGGCGGGCAGCCCGCGGGTCAGTCTGGCGGGCTCCGACGGTGGCGGCGGCGGCGGTAGCACTCGCTCCAGCGGAATCAGCCTCGGCTACGACCAACGCCACGGCAGCCCACGCTCCGGTCGCTCCGACCTGCGTCCGGGCCCAGGTCCGTCGTCTGTGGGCAGTGCCCGCTCCAGCGTGTCCAGTTTGGGCTCCCGCGGCTCGGCGGGCGCCTATGCCGACTTGCTCCTGCCCGGCGCCTGCCTTGCTCCGGCTCGCTCCCCGGAGCCTGCTGGGCCGGCCCCCTTCCCTCTGCCTTCTCTGCAGCTGCCCCCGGGCCGAGAGGGCGGCCCGAGCGCGGCCGAGCGACGGCTGGAGGCGCTTACCCGGGAGCTGGAGCGGGCGCTGGAGGCGCGCACGGCGCGGGACTACTTCGGTGAGCGAACTCGGCCGCGCAGCCCTCTGCGCGCTGGCCCGAGACAGAGGAGAGCTCCGGGTGGGCCAGGCACTGGGCGGGTGGAAGAGGCACCAGGATTAAGAAACTGTGTCGCCCGCGGGGCTAGCGAGCCGGCGACGTTTTGCGAATAGCCCAGTTATTGCGAACAGCAGCTAACTGTCTAGGTCTCCCGCCAGAAGGGGCTCTAGCAAAGTAAGTTGATGCGCTTAGAGAGTTAGAGAAAAAGTCAGGTTGGCAGATAGAATAAGCAATTTTTTTTTTCCTGATCATTTCTTTTTCTTCTTCTTCTGTGCTGGGGATTGAATCCAGGGCCTTGTGCTTGTGAGGCAAGCGCTCTACCAACTGAGCTGTATCCCCAGCCCAGGGCATCTCTTCTTAACCCTTGGTGATTGCTTCTGTTTACCTTCCTTGATGTTTCGTGATCAGAAGGGACGCCCGGCATGCCCCCAGCAGTATGGGGGTGTGGACAGGAACAGGAAGGTGGAGAACCCTGGGTACTCTTGGACCCGCCTGACCCGAGGCTGTGGGGATGCTAGTGGCGGGAGGTGGAGACTGTGGGAGGGAGGAAGAGCCCACCTTGTGGGAGAGGAAGACCCAGCCAGGCACACTGGGCTGCTCGAGGCTGTGCTGTGGATGTGTATCTTAAAGGAATTGTGCTTCTTATGAATTTGCAAAGCTCACCAGTCTGACAGCTTCTGTTTCCCAGCCCCTCCCTGGCTTTCTCATGCCTTTCAACAACTCTTCGGGAGAGGTGGGGCACAGAAGTATTATAGAGCCCAAGGAGAGAGTATCCCTCCCTCCCTTCCTGATAAACCCATAGGGTGGAGGCCCCTGGCTTTAGACAGATGATTGTCAAGGGTGATCAAGCCTGGGAATGAGGCTGTCCTGGGATTTCTATCTTTCTTACACTCAATGGAGCTAGCGGCTCTGGACTGCGCTTTACTGGATTTTTTGGGATTGAACCTAGGGGGCGCTGAGCCACTGAGCCACACCCCCAGCCCTTTTTATATTTTTTAAAAATTTGAGACAGGGTCTTGCTAAGTTGCTGAGGTTGGGACTTTGAATTCGGGATCCTCCTGCCTCAGCCTCCCAAGCCCTGGAATTATGCTTGTGTGCCTGGCCCTGAACTGGATCTTGAGAGATGAGGAGGCTGTATATTGCAGGCCAGATGGGAGCATCCCAGGCAGAGAGAAGGAAGTGAGCAAAACAAGGCCAAGGAAGATTTAAGAAGGCCCCAGAGGATTGCAACCAGGAGGGGCCAGGGGGTCAAGGGCATGTGTGCACTGAAGGGTTGGCCTGTTTGGGGGTTGGGGAGCACCTCCCATGTGGGGAGACAGGGTGAGAATTTGTGGTTTGGCAGGTCTGGTGGCTGCTGGTAGCAAAGAGATGAGAGAGGAGCTCTTGCCTCCTGTGCCAGGCAGATGCCAGGAGCAGAGCCATTCCGTTCAAAAGGAACACTCTTCAGTGCTCTCTTGAGGAAATAGTGGCCCTTTTCTGTTCCTTGAATATTGCAGAGCTTGGGTGAGGGGTGTGGCTGAGTATCCATGGCCACCCAGAATCATTATGTTACTCTGGGTGGCCCTAGTCCCATCAGGTAATGTTGGAAGTGAAGGGGCCAATAGTAGAAAATGGTAGAGGTCAGGGGGCTATCCTTTCTAAAGAGGAGCTGGGGCTCAGCTTTGTAGCCATTTGGGAGTCTGAGAGGACAGACAGATTGTCCTCCCCCCAAGAACAGCCAGAAATTGAGATTTAGATAAACATTATGGTTCTAATGACATTTGACTTTTTTGAGGTACAAGAGTGGCAATTTTGGCCCGGTGGTGGCCCACGCTTGTAATCCAAGTGGCTTGGGAGTCTGACGCAGGAGGATTGCAAGTTCAAAGCCAGCCTCAGCAAAAGCAAGATGCTAAGCTACTCAGTGAGACCCTTCTCTCTATATATTAAATAAAATACAAAATAGGACTGGGGATATGGCTCAGTGGTTGAGTGCCCCTGAGTTCCATCCCTGGTACCCCTCCCCCCTCACCACCAAAAAAAGTGGCAATTTTAAGCTGGGTGGGGTGGCACGTGCCTGTAATCTCAGCAACTCCAGAGACTGAAGTAGAAGGATCAGAAGTTTGAGGCCAGTCTGGGCAACTTAGTAAGACCCTGCCTTCAAAATAAAAAATTAAAAGGACTGGGAATGTGACAGTGGTAAAACACCCCTTGGTTCAAACCCCAGTACAAAAAAAAAAGTAATATTATAAGTTCAATTGGAATAATAGGTCGTCTCCAGGTAGCATGAGCACCAGCGATCTCGAGAAACCTAATGCACAGAGCATTTCTCTTTGTGCCATCCTTCGTCACTTCTCTTTGGCTCTGGTGCCCGCTGACCTCTTGGTCACTCTYTGTCATTCAGTGATGTCTTTGGAACTTTCCCTCTCCTCCCTGAGGTCTCCTGCCACTAGCCTGTCACCAACCTCAGGCCCCTGGAACCTCTTTCCGCTGCGTAGCCTGCTGCCTTCTCTCTGGCCACCCACTCCGGGGCCACACCCTGCTTTTGCTTCTCTCCAGCACCTTCAGTTCCAGCAGCTGCTTCTCACCACGACCTCAGATTCCTCTCAATTATCTGCCCAGCGTGACCCTGGCTCCCGCTGCTCCTTTCCTGCTGCTCCCCCAGGCTGAGGGGCTCAGAGGATGCTCCTGGGACCACAGCAGATTTTTGGATTTCAGCCTCAGTGGTCTCCCTAAGACTAGGTCACTTGGCTCTTCYGTTTCCTGAGCACCCTTCCTCTCCCCTCTGATGTCCATCCTTGCTTTCCACTTCACATAGAATATTGTGGTCAATATTGTCTCCGCTGGCTTCCTGTTTCTCAACCCCAGGCTCTCTCCTGTCCACAGCCAGCCCCTCGCTCCTGCCACCTAAGAGGATAAGAGTCCTCTGTCTCCAACCTCCACCTTCTCCATCTTCAGCTTTCCTCCTGTTATAAATTTGCACAAGGGTATTTCACTAAAAAAAAAAAAAAAGTAAAGAGTAAAGATGACTCTCAAACCTATATGGCCACACCCCATGAAGGACGCCCCAGCCCTTTCAAACATTCTTCCCCTCCCAGTGTTTTGCTGAGATCATCTTTGCTAATTTAAATACCTTCCTATTCCCCATGGCCACCTGCTGTATCTCCTCTCACTTGACTGGCCCACGTCTCACACAGGACACTAGTGATGCAAGGCCCCAGCCCGAAATGTCTCATCTCATTGTGGTATCCAACAATGTGGAGTTTGCTCTCCTCACAGCATCCTGCTTCCTAATTTCTGGGTCTCTCATGCTCCTGCTTCTTTTTTAGTGTATTTTTCTTTCTTTCTTTTCTTTTTCTTTTTCTTTTTTTTTTTCTTTCTTTTTTTTTTTTTGGTGGTGCTGGGGATTGAACCCAGGGCCTGTGCATGCAAGGCAAGCACTCTACCAACTGAGCTATATCCCCAGCCCAGTATATTTTTATTAAAGTGGTGTATGTACATATTTAGAGAAAAATCAAATAAAATGCAAAAATGAATAATGCAGAATAGAATCGGCTCTTCCTTTCTTTATCCACCCTTCATTTCTGTTTCTCCAGAAGCACCCGGGTTTTCTTCTTTTCTCCTTTCTCTGTTTTCCCAGTAGCTTAATCAGGGAAATGACAAGGTCCGATTCTCAAAGCTAATGGACAAGAATGAGCAGTCTGGCTGCAGTTTGGGGAATGGATTACTGGGGGCCAGGCTGGGAGGCCAGAGGGAGTGAGGGGAAGGAGTGAAGTCAAGGTGAGGGGACAGAGGTTCCCAACTAGAGGTGAGGGTGAGGCACCCACCTGAAGAGCCCAGAACCTGGGTACATGAACACACCATCTCCTGAGGGGGAGCCACAATCTATAGTGGTTTGGGGGAGTCTGCAGCTGTGTCTGCACACAGAGTGTCTGGGGCCTTCTGAGAGGGGAACCAGCACTCGGGAGTCCAGGCTGGAGGTCACACCTGGAGCCCTGGGCAGGGTGAGAAGATGGGACTGTGCAGGAGACCTGGGAAGCTGCGGCCATGCACAGGGACCTGCAGCAAGGGTTTGCTTGGTCTCTACATTTTGAGAACACTTAAGTTAGTAATTAATTTCAGAATAGAAGGATTTCATATACAGATCTAGATGTCTAGCTTTTCTTGAAAAATTAGGGTCTCTGGCCATGCCTGTGGGCCTGCCTTCTCACCTCGGAGCCATCTGTAGAACCGTACCTGGGTCCCCCCGGCCATCCGTGTGTTCCTGCCTGGTTTAAGTTGGGGTGCTGGGGATTGACCTAAGGATCCTGTGCGTGCTAGGTAGGTGCTCTCCCACTGAGCTGCACCCCTGACCCTTTTATTTTTTTATTTCGAGACAGGGTCTCCTTACGTTTTTTTGTGGCTGGCCTTGAACTTGCAATCTATCCTTTTGCCTCAGCCTCCTCAGTAGCTGGGAGCAAACCACCCTCCCCAGCTCTTCTGTGGTTTTATCTATTTATTTATTTATTGGTACTGGGAATTGACCCCAGGGTGCTTAACCACGAGCCATATCCCCAGCTGCCCCCCCCCCTTTTTTGGTATTTTATTTAGAGACAGGGCCTTGCTGAGTTGCTAAGTGTCTTGCTAAATTGCTGAGGCTGGCTTTGAACTCTCAATCCTCCTTCCTCAGCCTCTAGAGCTGGAGTCGCTGAGATGACAGGCATGCGCCACCATGCCCGGCTTCCTGTGGTTTTGAGGCATCTGAATTGATCCTCCCCACACCTCAGAGGCCAGGACTGAGCAGGGGAGTAACCAGAAGAGCTGGGAGGGGAGAAACCAGGTGTAGGTTAAATCCTGGAAACCAAAAAGGAGGTGAGATCAGATGGGAAAGAGCATACAAAAGGTAGGAGAGACTTGGCCATGGTCACACAGATGGAGCATCCCTAATCTGAAAATATGAAAAGCTCCAAAATCCACAACATTTTTGAGCATGAAATTGACACTCAAAAAGTTTCAGACTTTGGCATTTTTGATTTCAGATTTTCTGGTGAGGGAAGCTTAAAGTCTGCAGATATTCCAAAATCTGAAAAACCCCCAAATTGAAAACACTTTGGATCCTAAGCATTTCAGATAAGGGATACTTAACCCATGTAAAGACAGAGAAGGCAAGAGGGAGGGGGATGGCAGTATGTCCTGGAACAGCTGTAGATTGAGGGCCTGGAGTGTAGGTGGAGCCACCTTCATGCCCTGTGGGGTACTGGGGGCCCTGAGTAACTCCCTGAGGAGTTACTCAGGCTGGCTGCCTGCTGGGTCTCCAGGAGGGCTGGTCAGAGAGTCCACTAGGGCTGGAACCAGGCTCTATCCTGGCATTCCTGGTCATTTCTCCTTTCCACCCACTACCAGACCCATGGGGCACCCCTGCTCCCTTCCCTCAGCTAAGAGTGGTCCCCAATTCCATCCTGGAGTCCCAGATGCCTGCTCAGTGACTTATCTTACTTTCTTCAGGTCTTTGTTCAAATACCGCCTTGTCAGCAGGGCCTTCCCTGATCATTCTTTTTAAAAATCACAGTCTCAGACATATTCTTGTGTGTGTGGGGTGGGGTGGGGTGGGGGGGTGGTGCTGGAATTGAACCCAGGACCTCATGCACGCAGGGCACGCACTCTACCACTGAGCTGCACCCCGGCCCCTAGATCTGTTCCCAGCCTGACTTTTTTCTGTTGCTTGTTTCTACCTGACACATTATTTAGCTGCTGTTGTCTGTCACCTCCATGGAATSCAGGCTCCTTGGGGGAGGGGACTTCAGTCCATGGTAGAATTTTTCCAGCGCCTGTGGGCTGTGTGGCAGGCGGTGCATGTCTGTGTGCTGACTGAACAGGAGACGGCGTGGGCCTGTAGTACAGATGAGGAAGGGAGCCCCAGGAGGGTCGGCGACTGCCTTGGGTGCACCTGTGTGGTCTTCACTCTCTGTGTCTGGGTCAGAAAATACATATTTTGATTCTGAAGAATAGGATTTGGTTCATGGACAGCAGAAAGGATTTTTCTCTTAGTCCAAGAATGCGGGGCTTAGGATGACATTTCTAGGTATTGATGCGTCTAATAACTACGCGGTTGACCTCAGTTGGCTCTGACCCTGTGTCAGGTGCTCTGGAATCCTCAGACGATAGTATCAGTAGTGGGTTTCCTTTAGGGTCCCCTTGTGTCATTAGAGACTRAATTATGTTGGCCTAGAGAAGTTAACCTGCCCAAGGCCAGGCAGATGGGAGGCATCAGGACTGGGAGGTAGATGTCTGTCCATCTGACTCCAGAGTCCGTGGCGCCAACCACTGCTCTGTCCTGCCTCTCCTCCTATAGGCATTTGCATCAAGTGTGGGCTCGGCATCTATGGAGCGAGGCAGGCGTGCCAGGCGATGGGGAGCCTGTACCACACCGACTGCTTCATCTGTGACTCCTGCGGTAGGTAACCCCTTCCCTGTCCCTCTTGAACCCCAGGCACCCAGTTCCTAGGCAGATGGTCCACCCAGCCCTGGCCCAGGTTAGAGTGTGGAGTAGGCTGGTCACAGTCTTACCGTGCACATGGGTCTGGCCTGTTTGAGAGGCACAGGCTGCTGGGGGGATCTGCTAGGGCCTGGGTGGGGAGCTGTGGAGCCAGTGAGGAGCCTATTGCTGGTGTAGGGAAAGGCTGTCCTTCTGCTCCCCTGCTTTGGGGTCTTCCCCCTGTGCAAGGTGCTGGTGTCTGCCAGGGAGCAGRTGTGGAGCCCGTGACAGTCTTCTGGACATAGGCCTGATACTTTTTTCCTGCCCTTTATTTTTGGTCCCTATTTTACACACAGTATAAACTATAAATTTTATAATTTAACTTAAACAAAATTATGAAACTAAAAAAGTAACTGTAATCCTACTGCCCTAATAGATCTGTATTCTTGATTTTCCCACTGTTCTTCCAGACTTTGCCTTGAAGCAGACATCTTTTATTTGCTTGTGCTAAACATTTTAACATTTTATTACAGAATAATGTATGCAAAGTGTTACATTAAACAGTTCTCTTTCCCTCAGTACTGAGGATTGAACCCAGGGG